GATTTAAACTTATGTTTGCCTAACTCCAAAGTCCCCCCACCCCCACCCCCCTTTTTTTTTGGTGAGGAAGATTGTCCCTGAGCTAACATCTGTGCCAGGCTTCCTCTATTTTGTACATAGGATGCCGCCACAGCATGGCCGACATGTGGTGTGTAGGTCCGCGCCCAGGCTCTGAACACGAGAACCCCGGGCTGTGGAAGCACAGCGTGTGAACTCAACCACTACGCCACCAGGCCGGCCCCCAAAGTCCACTTTTTTCATACTAAACCACATTACCACAAGGTAACAGAACCCTTGAAACATTGCTTCTGAATCCCTTTTTATATTCTACACTTCTCACTGCTTCTAGCCTTCATGAAAATACGACAAACCTCATTAAAACAACTAAACACTAAGATTCTCTTCTGCTAGAATGTCGTGTAATGTTTTTATTCTATTTTCATTCTAAAGATACAGCTCCACTTCTGATTTTGCCAAGGCACTGAAGAGTAGAAGACAAAGTCACCGTCTTATATTCACTGAGTGAACGGAAGAATCCAGAAAGAGCGGAGGGGTGGGTAAGAAAGCAAGAGGAGAGGAAGGGACCCAAAGGGGCATTCTGGGTTCTTCTGCTCTTTGCAGGGCTGGGAGTCCCCTGAAGACTCAGTGTTACAACGTGGTTGAGAAAGAGAAGTCACGCCAAGAGAAGCTGACAAAACTGAGCCTTCAAGGCAAATGCTGAGGGAACTGTGCAAACTGTGGTGGAGGGAAAAGGGGTTGCAAGGTTAGACATAACGGAGCTTGATTTCTGTCTTTGCCAGTTATGCGACCCTGAGCAAGAAATTTAGCCTTGCTTAACCTATTTCCTCATGTGGAAAATGTGGAAAGTGATGCCTGCCTCCCAGGTGAGGGCCACTGCTCTGCTAGCCAGTGCCTTTGGGCAAATTTGAAATGGTTTCTCCTCTGGGTTGGTGAATTAAAAAAAGTGCTCCCTCTGGGTGGGAGCTAACCTAGGAACACAGGGCTTGGTAAGGTGTGTGTGGGGGAATAACATACTTATGCAAGAAAAATGAGCCTCTTCCTCTGTGGCAAGTGGCAGAGTCCAGGCTGGTTTTCAGGCCCCTGATTCCTTCCACAGAGCACCAAACAACGGTGCACGGCATCTCGCTCAGGGCAGTGTGAAGACAAGACCAGATCATGTCCACAGAAGCCCTTAGAGGGCTCCCCATGACTGAAACCCGCGGAGTGTGTGGGAGAGAGCTGGAGAGGGAGAAAGGGAAAGGGAGAAAGGGAAAGGGAGAGGGAGACGAGGAAAGAAGGGAGGGAGGGAGGAGAGAGAGAGCATGAGAAGGCAGGCACGCTTCATCATGGGCTCACATCATACATAGGAGAATGGGAAACTCCATGAACCTCCTGAAATCATTTGGTAGATTTTGTGTATATTTTTCTGGGATGAGGGTTTAGAGCTTTCAAGTTAAAAAAAAAAAAACACAAATGAGAAAGAGGCGAGGACCAGCGAACTGAAAAATAAGTTAATGTTATGTGTGTGGGGAGGGAAAATAAAATGTTCCCTACAGGCTAAAAGATGCACTTTTGCAGGGACAGAGAGCAATTAAGTTCCCTACAGGCTAAAAGATGCACTTTTGCAGGGACAGAGAGCAATTAAGTTCCCTACAGGCTAAAAGATGCACTTTTGCAGGGACAGAGAGCAATTAAGTAAACTTCATTTAACATAGATAAATAGGTAGACAGACAGACAGTTACCGACATATATTATTTATTTCACAGAATAATTGACATATAAGCAACTGGCACCTACCTTTGGTTACAACTAAACTTTTCCTCCAACAACGCTCTTCACTCATCTCATCATGCTACGGCAAATAAATCACAATAACTATTTTTCTATATTTTTCCTTGGAATTTACCAAGAGGGGCTGATACAGCTCTGAGGGTCTGCGAGTGTTGTCAACAGCTGAGTGTTTGGCAGGATGATGGCAGGCCGGCTGCCTGTTAGCGCATAAGGGCATTTCACCCAGCTCCTTTGCTGGTAAAGCTCTTCCCTGGCTCTTGGCCTGGTGACATGTACTTGTCTCCCTTTATGCTTCATCTCATAAGTCACTTTTATGACCACCCTTCCCAAAGCAGGCACCCTTCTACAGTGTCCCCCACACACCCCTTTACCTACTTCATATCCATCATGGCAATGTACAGTTATTCCAGTTAGTTCTCTACTGGTTTTTTTCCTGTTTGCCTCTCCATTAGAATGTAAGCATCATGAGGACAAGGATGTTCCAGATACACTGTTGTACCCCCAGGTATGTAGAATGTGGCATATAGAAAATGCTCAACAAACAATTGTTGACTGACTGAATTACTCAAAGCAAGTCGTTCATTCACTCAACAACTATTTGCTGAGCAGATACTTGTGCCCGACTCCGAGGATACAACAGAGGACAAGCAGCCCAGGACAAAGGAAAAGACAAGCTTCTGCCTGGGACTAATCCTATATATATATGATAACTTACTGGTCCGTAAGCACATTGTTATTATTATTATGTGACAGGCATCATGTCAGCAAATTTAGCGCCACCAAATGACTAAGAAAGCCATGATGCTTTTGGACAGACTCAAGTCTAGAGAGCAAAGCAGGCACATGGGCAAGGATAGGCGAGGAGAGGAAGAGGAAGAGGAGGAGGAGGAGGTAGTTCAGTGATATCTCTATTATCTGAAAACTTAAAGAAATTACCCTTCTCATTCAACTCTTCTAACAGAAGGTAAGATTAGAATCATACTACATTTTTTAAAAACATAGTAAAATATATACATCCAGGTGTATGTGCTATTTCAAAGCAATCCCCCAAGAAAGCTCTATATTTATTCTAATGATGCTATTAATCCTCAAAATATTCATAAAACTGCCTTCTTCAAATTGCCGCCAGAGATGATTTATGAAACACAGGAAAAAAAGAAAACATTTTATTTTATTTTTGATCCCAAATGCTATTTCCCAGATTGATTTCCCATCATATGCACTGAACTTGCTTTCACTGGACCTATTGAGATTGTTTTAAAAATCAAATTCATTCCTAAAGGACAAAGATTCATCATACTGAGGGTATTCTAAAACATGTGCACTTAAGCCAATGCTCAGAAAAGAGTTCCAGAAACGTTTGAACAAAGACAGGATCTTTTCAATGACTACTATGAAGGAGATAGCATTCATCTGGATAAACAGATAAATCCACTTAATCTGACATCATTGGAAATGGGTATTCTAGATAATATAGGAATATAAGAATATTGCTCAGATAACCAAAGTTCTAAACAGAAGACTTCTAAAACTTTTATTTATTTCATCGTGTCCTAAGATGTATGATTCTGTACCTTTTATATAGAGTATACAGCTCATTTTAATCTTTCTGACTCAGAGTCGTCATTACGGCCATCAGTTATTAACCCACGTTATAAATATAGGGTTACAGATGTCTGTAGGGTGATTCGTCTCTATTATATACTGGCCCAAATTGCAATGTTTTTAAAGTTTTTGTTTGTACTTATAGTTTTTCTCTCTTCTTATACATGGTCAATCTTTCAGCTTTTTAATAATAAGCCTGGCTCTTGCAAATTCCTTGCTTATAAACTGCTGCTTCTAACATGCTACAGGCTGAGCAGCTACGTCATGGTGAACAGTCAGAGGCAGTGACGTGGAATGAAGAGTCACGTAACTACACGGTACATCATCTTTGCAAGAAGCAGGCCATTGGTGTGGCAAAGCGAGGAAGAAATGGGGGGTGGCGATCAGCTCTGCAGCTGTTCATCTTATTCAACCAGAGAGAAGTAAACGTATATCATCCCAGGATGGACCAGAGACAAGACTTGTTTCCCTGTGAACTAGACAGACTTCCTGTTAGCCTGGCGAAGAGACAGATATGACCCAGGGCAGAGCGTTGGTGAGAAGGTTCTGAGACAATGAACCTAATTGTAAGCTGCCTGTTACCCACTCCCACGGCCCCCCACCCAGACTCTTCCTCTGGGAGCAAATAGCTGCCCTTATAAAGAATTTTAAAAAGATTATAAATCTTCTAAATTAGAAAGCAGTCAAATACTCATAAAATGAAATGAATAAAATAAAAAATAAACTAAAAAAATTATAGGAAGAATGAAAAACAAATAGGCAATTGTGCCTTCTGTGCACAGAGAATAATACGAGACAAAAATTCTTGCCCTTATAGAACTTGTGTTCTTCTGGAATATAAAAGTTATATCAATAAATGTAAATGGGATAATATCTCCTATTAAAGACTCCTGTATTTGATAAAAATCAATAAAACAAAAACCCAAAATTTGTGCCATGTATTAGACATGCATTTAAAACAAAAGGACTCAGAGAGAATGAGTAAAGACATACCAGGCAATGAAAACAAAAAGAAAGAAAGCAGGGTTGAGACATTAAGTATAGATAAGGTTAATTTAAAGACAAATTAACCAGCAAAGAAGATGTAGGAAGGCTAGACGAATGCGCTTCTTAGTAGTCTTGACACTACCTCAATATCAGAGGGATCTTTGCTTGTGGTGAGACCTCAATAAGAGGTGTTGACAAATAACAAAGAGAGAAGAAAAGTAGAAGCCAAACAAAGGAAAAAGTGATATCAAAAGATGTTTTTCTGTTGGAAAATGATAGAATCCACCAATTGTTGGTCCAAGTGATATTCAGTAGTATAAGTACCACATTTGGTCTTTTTGATTCTTTTCAGTAAAAATCTAACACCAAATGCAATGTGGGCTCCACCTCTAACTTCACTAACTGTGTGCCTTGAAGGGAGTCATTTCACCAGTTTGGGCTTCAGTTTAATCACCTGTGAAATGGGGGGGAGGGATGCGATGACCTTTCAGGTGAAATACATCTTTAATGCTGTGATTTCACTGTTACTATAATATGAAGGACCTTGATGTTTCCAGTGTATATTGCATATTGACTTAAACAGAAAACATTTTGAAGACATCATTCTTGCCCGCACCTTTCACTTCTCAGTGTTACAGCCTCTTCCTTCGTCTGATTCAAAAGAGATCTGGTCATCTCCAGCTCACCTTCTGCAAGGGTCATTCTTCGTCTCATGTCCTCTCCTTGCCTTTCTTTTGCAGTCAGTTCCTCTTGTAAAGCTTTATATATTTGTTGACAAGCCATTAAAGAGTCGTCTTTTTCTTTAAGCAATCTGGTGTGCCTGAAATGGAATAGGGGAAAAACCCCCACCAATATGCATTAGATACTATATTTTTATGTTTATCAAAGATATATGAAAATCTCATTTGAAATGGAAGACTATAACTTAAAGAAATTAAGAATGCTAAAAAATGAATAGTTCTGTGATATTAAAATTTTTCCATCTAGGTGAAGGCAAAATCAATGAACAGCTTCAAGATTTTATAAACTTGAATTATGTATTGTATATGTAAATAATACAATAAGAAAAGCTAAGTACATTTTAAATAAAATGTTATTTAAAATATGGTATCAAATTCAATTACTAAAAATATTAATTAAAAAATTTGCAATGTATACCGTGACTCAGAAATAATGGATTCAAACTTCAATTTTCTAAGTTCTCTTTGACAGTCATCAGCTTCATTAGATTTATTCCTAAAATAATACAAAAGAGGTTCAAATATTTTATTTCAAAATAGTTGAAGTATAAATCTTTTCCTTTTTTTAAAACATGTTTTCCCTTTATTACTTTTCTTATCTTTATATTCTATTATTCATTATATATGCAGATTTCCTTGAAATTAGATATATACAGTCAAAGGGTTTTTCTTTGCCAAAAAATCACCTAATCTGTTAGTCCAACTAAATGTGTTTTTCTATGTCATTTTTTAATTCATCCATAGAAAAAATTTCTTAGCCTCTTCATACTATTATTTCTCTAAAGAAATAAACATTCAGTCCACTTCTATAATGGCCAAATAATCTCCTATCAGACTGATCTGCATTTAAATAAAAAGCCTAAACTTTGGACAACATTAAAAAAGGAAAGAAAAGAAAAGAAAAACCATTTTGTGAAAGCATTGGAAAGTGACCCAAAGCAGCAAGATACTGGATGGAAGTTGACACTTGGAATGAGGTGACAGCATGGGGTCCAGTTTTATGTTTGTTTGTTTGTTTTTAATGATTTTTAAACCTGAGGGCAGGCCCCAGTCTGCACCATGCAGGGGAACTAAAATTCTGACAGAAAACTGGTAGAAAGCTCAAGTCGTTCTGGCCTGAAGAACTAGAGGACAACATTTGCGGCAACCATGGCTGCTGGAAAGTGCAGAGCGAACTCTGAAGTGGAAAGAGCCAGAGAGAGGAGGTCCCAGACACTGCAGATAAACTCTGCCCACGTGGCTGGCTGACCCCTGAACTACATGCGCACAGGGCAGACTCCATGCAGCCCTAGTTAAAGATAAAAGAAGTGAACTGAGATTTGAGCTGTTGCCCTAGAGACAGAGTTTGCAGTTTGAGGCCAACCAAATTAATTGCTCGCTTAAAGCAATACCACCACCACCACCTCCACCACCAACAGTATTTAGAGAAATATAACAGAGTCCAGAATTTCTATAATATAACATTCACAATGTCCAGAATATAATAAAAATTACTCAACATGGGAAGAAACAGAAAAGCATGACCTATTCTCAAGAGAAAAGACAGTTAATAGGGACCGACTCTGAGATGACCTAGATATTGAAAATAAGCAGACAAGGATTTTTGAAGAAGCAGTTATAACTCTGCTCAGAGACATAAAGGAAAATCTACTCTAATTAGTGCAAAGATGATAAATCTCAGCAGAGAAATAGAAACCATTAAAAACAACCAAATGAAAATTCTAAAACTGAAATAAACATTGGTCTTGATCTTATATGATTGGGTTTTGTAACAATATTCAAGAAGTTAATATATTAAGAAAAATTAATATTCCAGTTTAAGTTTGTATAGACTGCTCATTAATGTCATTATCTGAATGTACCTTAAAATAGTTTATAAGCTGTACAATGAAATTTATTAGTTAGATTATCAATGGGTTTGCCCTACTTGCAGAATGACTTTAACTTCTAACAAATAATTTATTTGCATCATGAACATGAACAACATTCATTTATTTTTAAACCTTTTTTATTGTAAAATATAAAATTGTAAGCTATAGAAAATTGAATAAAACAATTATATAATGAATTATTATACAGAGAAAACTCTTGTAACTACCATCCAGGTCAAAAAATAAAACCTTACCAGCTACCCTAGGAGTTTCACATCCCTGGTCGCAGTCACAGCCAACTCCTTCCTCCCTAAAATAACCATTCTCGTGAATTTTATGGTAATCCCTTTGATTTTCTTTGGAATTTTATTACCCAAGTTTTATCCCTGAACACTATATTTTACTTTTACTTTTGTAAAAAGTGTCTTTTTAAAATGTGTTATTCCCTTTATTACCCAATTTCCTTTATTACCTAATAAAATAGTTATTAAGGTATTATATTGACATACAATTAACTGCATACAGTTTGATAGGTTTGACATATGTCTAAGCCCATGAAACCGTCACCAGAATAAAGTAGCACACGAGCATGCTTAGAGCCTAGACCTTGGTCTCTAATACCATTCTCATTCAAAGGAATCAAGAGTCCCCAGAGAAATGGCTGATTCCAAGGCTGAGGCAGAGTAGGTACATCTGAAACATTTTGTTATGCCAAAAACTAAGGAAGTGCTTATAAAATATGATGGGATCATGTTCCAATGTCACAGGAGCCCACTTGAAAGGCCTCCCACTGGCTAAGGCTAGGACAATCTGTGTACCACAATAATTAAGTACAGTAATAAATCACAAACCATGGAAAAAAACAGGAGTTCACGAGTCCATACCAATAAAAAATAAATAAATAGCAGGAAGAAGGGAGGCTCTTGCTTAAAGCAGAATGCTGAGTGCTGACTAGTGAATGAGGAGAGAGGGCTGGAGGGGGAAAAATCATCATTTAGCAACCACTGCAGTAAAGATTGGAAAAGGCAAAAGTCATTAATGGGTGCTTGTACCTTGGGATAAATTTTGATGAGAAGCAGAGCATTTGCATGTAAAGCGTCTTTTATAGACTGCTTACTAGTTGGAAGGGAACAAAACCTCAGGAATAATACAGTGGAAAAACTGAGCAATACCTTGACTATGTGATGAAAATTAACATCACCAGTGAGGGCAGATGATCATGCACCTCCAGATGTGATACCCTGAGAAGGGCACATCCCCACCTATGTGGTTTTCTGGCTCGGAATACATATCCTTAATCCCATCAAGAGGAAATATCAGACCAATACAAAATGAAAAATTTTTTATTTAAAAAAAGTATGAGGGGTTCTGAATTCTTCAAAAATGTCAATATTATAAAAAGACAAAGACTGGAAATATTCCAGATTTAAGGAGGCTAAAGACACATGCCAAGTAGGCTGACCCTACCTGGATCATGTACTAGAGGAGAAAACGCTATAAAAGCCAGCTAACAGAATTGGAATATGGATGATAGATTAAAGTATCGTATGTAAATGTATGACACTGACTACTGTGCTTATGTACAGTGTCACCGTCCTGAGGAAAGACAGGCTGAGTATTTAGAGGTAAAGAATCATGTTGTATATAACTTATCCTCAAACGATTCAGGAAAACTGTGTGTGGGGGGTGTGTGTGTGTGTGTGTGTGTATGTGTGTGTGTGTGTGTGTGTGTGTGTGTGTGTGGAGACAGAGAGAGAGAGGCAGAGAGAGGGGTGAGGAAATAAGCAAATGAGTTACAATGTTAATAAGTGAATCTGAGTAAAGATTATTTGGGTGCTCTTTGTACTATCATTATGTTTACAACGTTTTGTAAGTTTGAAAGTATTTCCAAATAAAACATTAGAAAAGAAGGAATAAGGAAAAGATGAACATGCCATTAGAAAAGTGGGCAAAGGCTCTGCTCAGGTGAGTCACGAAGGAAAGAGTACAAAAAGCCAAATATGCAGGGAGACAATTTTTCATCAAACTAGTAATTTTTTTTTTTTTTTGGTTATAATACCCAGTATTAGCTAAGAAGTGGACAAATGGATATTTACAAACACTGCTGAGATTATAAATCAGTATAATCTTACTGGAGGGCAATGAGTCTTTATGCATTAAAAGCTGTAAAATTATGCAAGTTTGATTCTAGCAAAATTTATCCTAAGGACATAATTGTGTATAAGTAGAAAAATCTATCTACATGAATTTCAAAGTACCTTACTTATAAAAATGAAAAATTTGGAAATTCTAAAAAACAAGGGATTAATAAATAAGTTATGGTTCATCCACAAATTGGAATACTACATAGCCATTTAATAATTATCTATAAATGTCTCACGTAACAACATGGGAAAATGTCTAGGATATATCACTAAGTGAAAATACGTTAAGAAATACACATTACTTAGAAAAAATGGACTATCAGGATATATCAAAATATAACTATGATGTTCTTTTTTGTGTATTCCTGTATTTTCCACGTTTTATAGTTTGCTTTGAAATCAAACAAAAATGTTACCTTTAAAAATGCTTTGAGATTCAGCAGTCCCACCACAACTTTCACTCTATGTTCAGACTCTTATACACACTTTTCCAAATCAAGAGGCAGGGCAGTAGAACTCCTTTTAGTGATTATTTTACTAACTATGCGGACAATTAATCTTGGCTGCATTTTCTTTTAAAGAAAGCCTGCTCCCCAGGGAGCCTGCCTACCATCCCAAGACCTCCTCTCCCCAGGTCAGCCCCCACCCCCACGCCAGTTAAGCCGCTGTTCTATAGTCTACCCACCTTACCCCTCATTAGGAGGGGAGGAATTGGAAGGAACAGAAAGAACACCCACATCTCTTTAAACACTGCATTCCTCCTTTTACTCTCAGCAAATAGTGTTAATCCTTTCTCTTCACCCGCTTTGAACAAGCCTTCAGAAAGGCCCCTGCTGCTTCTGCCAATCAAAGCAAAGGAAATAAGATGAAATAATTGGATATTTCCCCCTAATTTGAAAGGCAAGGGTCCATACCATTTCACTGCTGTGTATGAAATAGCCATTCTCAAACCACCTCCTTCATATTTCCACTTTGCTGTCCAAAAGACATCTCAAATCTAACAGATCAAAAGCATTGTTTTTTATTTCCCTCATCCCCATATCTATTTCTTTGACAGATTTTCCCACTTCAATAAATGGCACCAATGCAATAATGATACTAACAGGTAACACCTTATCTATCTCATGCTACCCTCAAAGCCATCCTTATTTCCTGTTACAGCTGGGAAAACTGAGACCAGAGAGACAAGTTGTGTGCCCAAGGGGACATCACTACTACCTCATAGTGCTGCAATCTGAACCCCCGGCAGTCTGGATCTGAAGTCTAGGCACTTAGTCACTATCCTCTACTGACTCTCAACTGTCTATCCTGATGCTGAAAAACCCCAAACCCCATCCTTTATTCTTTCCTTTCCCTTCCAGTCCCCTTCCTCCCCAGCCACATCTACTCCACCAGTAAATCCAGTCAGATTGACCCCCCAACATATATGTCCCTCCATCTCCACACTATAGCCGTACACCAAACCGGTCACTCCTCACTCG